ATGGCTTATCCAAAATGTCCTCATTTCGAAATTTAATCAATATAAAAATATCTGTTTATAAATATCTATAGTTACAATTATTTAGATTTTTATACTAGGTCTTCAGATTCAAGTATTTATTTTACACTTCAGCACATCTCAATTTGGATACTACATTTTCACCAGTAATACTTGATCTATATTTAGATTTCATAAAGCTCAAGGTTGAAAACTAAATTTTCATACCCAATTTGTTTCCATATGGCTAGTGGCTACATTAGACAGAAAGCTTTACAGAATATCTGATGAGTTCAGCAATCTCAGTGAATGCTCTCTCTTCAATATTCAAAAAATATCATTCTCTCCTAAGGACAGAGGTGGAAGAGAAGGATCCTCGACTCTCCCTTCAGAGAGGCAGTTTGGTGGTTTTCAGTAGCTACATGTAACTGCAACTATTTTTGTGTTAATTGGGCATGAGAAGGTATTAAATAAAAGATTGTAGACTAAAATATATATATGGAATTGAAGCCAACTGCTTATTTTGGAATTGTGGCATTGTCGCTTACTAGATAAAGTAATCATGAGTAAACCACTTAGTATCTCCCTGCCTTAATGTCATCATTTGTAAAATGAAATAACACTGTTTCTACCTGTTGGGTATACTAAGAATTAAGTCAATTAATATATGTCAACTACTTAGAAAGCACAAAGTAACCATTATATACATCCTGGTTTTTGAGGTCAGCAGCCTCATATGTATGAATATCCATACATATCTTGATATGTATGGAAAATATGTACTAGCCTCATTGTATGAAGCTAGTAAGCCACATAGCCAGGAATAAAAACCAGACCTTTGGCTGGGCATGGTGGCTCATGCCTATAAGCCCAGCACTTCAGGAGGCTGAGGTAAGTGGAGTTCAGCAGTTTAAGATCAGCCTGGCCAACATGGTGAAACCCTGTCTCTACTAAAAACACAAAAATGCTGCGCATGGTAGTGCGGGCCTGTAGTCTCAGCTACTCTGGAGGCGTGGTGGGAGGATCACTTGAGCCTGGGAGGTGGAGGTTATAGTGAACCGAGATTGTGCCACTGTACTCTAGCCTAAGTGACAGAGTGAGACCCTGTCTCAAAAAAAAAAAGCCCAGACTTTCTTTTTCTATTTAATATTCCATCTACCATCGAGGGCTGGGTTAAGTAACCTAGGGTTTTTTAGGCTGCCATAAACAGTTTAACATAAAATTCTGCAAATCAAAAAAATTGAGCAGCTCAAAACATTTATAAAATTTTATTTTAATCTATGTCTATATATATGTTTTAGATTACATTGATTATTAAAAAACAAAAACAACTACTAATGTTCCATTTGGGGGCCAGAACTACACACTAAGGAACAGTTCTCTGGGTTGCTATATCTGTAAAATAAAACTCTATTGCCTCACTTTTCAAAAGATAGACAAAAATGGAAACAAACCTATTGCACCACAACACATTATGCAAGTATGATGTTCATTACCTCAAAATCTTTATCAAATAAAATCCATGATGATGGTAATGACTGTTTTAGGATTTCCTTTTTTTCCCCCTTTGGTTTTCAAAACATTCAATATTGGGATATTAACATCTGTAATTTAAAAAATAATCCCCTCCCCCTGGAAAAAGTATATCAGGAATGAAAATAGTATTGATAGAAGAAACAGTTAGAAAATTAATTCTAGAAAATAGATAACTAGCTGAAAAACTGTCCTCTTTTTTCAGACATGTTTTAGGTATCTTTCCTTAGGCTCCATTCAAACTTTTTTATTTTAATGATTTAGGTGACTGCGACAACATCTTTTATTGTATCTAAAAATAGGGCATGGGTGTGTAAATTTATGAGCTGGAATGCAAAACTGGCACAGGATGTCTAAATCAGAGCATTAAATCATTTACTATACTCTAATATGAAAATATATTTTAAGGATTGGTATCTCCATGCTCTATCTTTACATATTTTAATCCAATCATCTTTATTCTTTTCACAGTGAAGAAATGTGAAATCATAAACTTTTTAACATTCTCAAATATGCCAAGCCAATTAAGAGATTATTGGCCAGATGGGGTGGCTCATGCCTGTAATCCCAATAATTTGGGAGGCCAAGGTAGGCAGATCACCTGAGATCAGGAGTTCAAGACCAGCCTGGGCAACACTGTGAAACCCTGTCTCCACTAAAATGCAAAAAATCAGCTGGGTGTGGCAGCATGTGCCTGTAGTCCCAGCTACTTGGGAGACTGAGGCAGGAGAATTATTTGAACCTGGGTGGTGGAGGTTGCCGTAAGCTGAGATCATGCCACTGCACTTTAGCCTGGGCGACAGTGCAAGACTTTAAAAAAAAAAAAAAAAAAGGGAGAGAGATTATCCTTGGACAAACACTCCTCCACTCCAGGCCTCTGGATCCTTCCTTGAATAAGAAGGACAAGACAGAACACCAGTGGTTCTCAGTCTTCTTTCCACCCCAACCCATCTGAGGGATTAAGCATCTCCCCATTTATAGAAGTGATGATCATCTGAAAACGTCCCACAGAAGATTCTGAGACACTGCCCTAGAAGTTGTTCCCCTGCTGGTTCGCTCTACTACACTACTGCAGACTTATCTGAGGTTCCACACGGCTCTACGCCTGCCACTTTAGGTAGAGGAAAATTATAATAATATTTCAATGAGCTTAAGAAGGGCCAAAAGTTAGTATACATCTTCATTTGCTGGAACATGCAAGATCCAAATAAGAATTTGTATACTGATAGCATCAAAAAAGACTATGGAACTGTTCATATGGCAGGCAGCACATCCAACCTGGAATTGGCTTCTAATAAGGAGGTAGGTAAAGGAGGAGGAAAAGTAGGGAATCAATCAAAATAATCACCCCTAAGGTTTGAGGGAATGGTCTGAATATGTGATTAATGGAAAGATTTGTCTAAATCAACTTGCCTGGTATCAGAAAGGGAAGCCAAAGATGAACACATAGAGATGTGATGGTATATGACCCCCAATTTCTTCTCCAAAATATCAATTTGTAACATTTGATATCAATTCTATGTAGATAATTTTTTTTTACTGGACAACTCTATAAACTAATAACCGTAAACACTAAAAAGAAAAGATACGGACATATACCATAAGTCAAATACACTAGTTCAGCATGGGGATTGATGAGAACTGCCAAGCATGGTATTTACAAATAATATCCGTATTTCTTTGAATATCTACTTACTGTGGACAAATTACACAGCATTTAAAAGCTATTGTTAGTTGGGCATGGTGACTTGTGCCTGTAATTCCAGACTCTCTGGAGGCCAGGAGTTCAAGACCAGCATGGGCAACATAGTGAGACCCCTAACCCCCATCATCTCTTTAAAAAAAAGAAAGAAAGAAAATAAAATTTAGAAAGCTCTTGTATGTGCAAAGTCATGTGAAAAAATTCTCACAACTAGGAAAGAAGGAAATAGACTTTGAAAACTTCCTTGGAAGATGTGCATTATCTGATCCAAATGTGAACCAATGTTATGTTGTTATTAATAAGTATGCAACGTATGGTAAACATGCTGACTGAGGCTTCAAAATTAGGATATTTATATGAAAAAAATGTGTAATTGTACTACCTTCAAACAAGAAAACAGTATTACTTAATAAATGCTGATTGTTAACTGTATGTTTTACAATGAGATGACCTTTAAATGGCACAAAAAAATAACAAGTGAACCACAGATTCAGAATTTGAAAATAAAAAACTAGCAGGCTCTAAAAATTGCTGTCCTCTGTACCTAAAGATGCCACTAGTGGCGAATCAGGATACAATGTCACTGCTCTAACATATATATTGCTATATTGACTCCTGATCAAAAAAGTCGACAAAAATCTTTTGTGGGCATCAATGTATTCTGAAACAACTATAAAACACACTGTCCATTGCTGCTTAACTTGCTGAAAAAACACTCCCTATTTAACAAACACATTCTCAACGTTCCCAGTGTGAACTATAACTGTAAAACCTAAAACCTGGGTCAGTATACAGACCAACAAGAAATAAACACGAACAGAAAGAAATGCCCCAATCTCAATTCTGAAAGATGTTCACATCTGAAATGGTTGCAATAAATACTATGAAAAGAAGACAATTCCATACACAGGGTTGAGATGGCTAAACAGTCGTTGGATGAAGATATACATTTCTTCCTTATTCTATTCCCATGTGTCAAAGCATCAAAACAATTTAATTTGTGACAGTTTATGTTGTGTCTCGAACTTTACATCTCAGTTTATCATGAGGGGGAAAAAAACCTGTTAGGCTTGACTCGCTGTGAATCACAGCCAGGAGGTCATCTTGTTGTGTATCAGCAACTATGTTTTCGCTACAGCTATGTGACCTGAAGTGGCAGCAGCAGAGGCACCAAAATAGAAGGGGCAGGAGCCTTCTCCTGGCTTCTTGGCTGCAAATGGGCTTTCCGGCCCATTTGGGCAACTGAGCAAGAGCCAACCGCAGAGGAGAGAAAGAACCAACCCCGACAGCTCCGCGGAGAAAGGCTGCAGGCCCACCCCACCTTTCGTGCCCTCCCGGGGAGCCCGGAGAAGCAGGAACATAAAAGAGGACAGGCTTAAGAAACAGCCTGGAGAAAACACAGCATGACAGGGGTCAAAACTAGCCCCATGGAGGGCAAAACCCAGCCCTGACCGTGAAGCACAGATTTTGGGGCGGTCTGGAGGCGGAGGAGGCTCTCTACCCCGGGGCTCCGGGAGCGGCTCCGGCGCGAGCGCGCAGCGGGCCCCCTGCCTTCAAGCTCCTCCGGCCGCCTGGGACCTGCCCCAGCTCCCACCTCACCTGGCCGGTGCCCGCTGGCCCGGCCCGAGCCTCCGGCTCCCTGCCCGCGCCCCGGCCCACCCTCCCATCCCGTGTTCTCCCCGCACGTCCCTCGGGACCACCGGCCGGGTCAGCCGGGGCAGGTGGCCGCTGCCAGCCCCGCAGCCCCAGGCCCGGCCTCGGCACTCACTTTCTGAATCCGCTTCAGCGCCATGGGTCCGGGATGGCGGTGGGGACACCGGCCGGCGGGGGGCGGCTGCGGGGCTCTGGGGCGTGGATCGTCGCGGGTTGGGCTCTGGCGGCTCGGCTGGCTCCGCGCGGTGGGTCCCCGGCTCACCGCTCCCAGGCTCGCTCCGGGCGCCGGTCCCTGCTCCGTGTGCGCCCGAGCGCGAGTGTGAGGGCGGGGACGCCGGCGAGACTCTTTTGTTTCCGCTTTTGCTTCTGGGAAGGAGCCTGCGCCCTCCCCGCCGCGCCCCGCCCCGCCCCCGCCTGGCACACTGGGAAGTGTAGTTCCAGCCCTGTCCTCGGCCGCAGGCCCGCGGGCGCTGTCAGGTCACCTGCTCACCGCTGACCTCAGCGGGGCAGCTTCAGGTGAGAGCTGCCGGGGGCTAGAGTCGGTCTCTGCAGTCTCATTGAGAGCACGTGACTCTGGGGCTGCGCATCTGGAAAATGGGGATAACAAACGAGCTACTAACGCACTTAAAGGCATTTCTAAATCATCAGTTAGTAATTCCTTATCCAATAGGTGCCACAGCTAGTTTTGTTATTTTTACCTTTAAAGATTTCACTTTTTCTCAAATATATGGATTGTCGCAATTTCTCACCTTGTACACATGCACAAACTCGTATCTATCAGATCCCTTGCTTACCTCCTTAGTTCTTATTGCCGAGGAAAAAGGTGTCTCTTCTGTCCAATGCACAAATCTTCCTTGTCTGAGTGCATTATCTGCTCGTAGGTATGCCCCTCCTCATAAATTACCCGCTTCGAATACCTAGTTCTGAGCTCTCACTACCCCCACTGTCTCCTACCCTACTGACACACACACAGTCCCTACTCAACAGTCAGCTCACACTCCCCACTCTCCAATTCCTGTGCACGTGTGTACCCATTAAAACTTGGCTTCTTGCCAGGCGCGGTGGCTCAAGCCTGTAATCCCGGCACTTTGGGAGTCCGAGTTGGGCAGATCACCTGAGGATGAGAGTTTGAGACAGGCCTGGCAAACAAGGTGAAACCCCGTCTCTACTAAATATACAAAAATTAGCTGGGCGTGGTGGAGCACACCTGTAGTCCCAGCTACTCAGGGGGCTGAGGCAGGAGAATCACTTGATCCCGGGAGGCAGAGGTTACAGTGAGCGGACATCGCACCACTGCACTCCAGCCTGCGCGACAGAGTGAGACCCTGTCTCAAAACAAAATAAAACCCAAAAACTTGGCTTCTGCTTTGAGCACCACAGAATCAGTTTTCACCAAGGTCACCAATTAGAAGCTTGAACTTCGAATTACCAGATTCAACTCACTCCCTACTCTGCGCCATGTTTTTGAACCACCTGTTTGCAGTCACCCTCTTGCTTTTCAAAACATTCACTGCCTCTGGCTTCCGCGCACCATGGTAGGTGGGTCTTCTATTTGGTTGACTTTCCTTTTTCTGTCACTAGCTTCTCTTCTCAAGCGTTGGAGTGCTCCAGAGTTCCAAGCTCCAGAGTTCACCATCGATATCTTTCTAGGAGATAGACCTCATGCTCTCCCCTGAACTGGGCGTAGTTTGAGGTTCATGGACTGTGAAGACCAATTGCTGTCCCTCTGACTCCTGCAAGCTGGGTGACCTTGGCCAAGCCATGTAAATTCTCTAATGTCTATTAATCTCTACATGTACTATTGTAAGAATTAATTGGTATTTTTATATGTAATATGCCCAACACAGTACCTATGTTGAAAGTGCTCTATGAGTATTATTTCCTGACTTATTTTTACTTACATGGTGGTAACTAAAAAATTTCTTTTCAGCTCAAACTCTCACAATAGTTTCCATCTTAAATTTTCAAAAGCCCACTGGACACATCTGCCTTCCTTCCCTGTGCCTAGCATTGAGGGTCTGTAACTACAAGGTGAGGATGAGAGACAGCTTACCAAGAAACCCAAAACAATAGCTACCATAGCATTCCAAAGGCTGCAAAGAGCAAGGAACAAATATCCCACTCTTGTAACCTAAGCGAAAAACGGATAATGAGTAATGGAAGAATGATAGAAACAACCAATAAGACTTAAAACTTAATTTGGAACTCTTCCCTGCCCCGCACCAAGAGGGTTCTGGGGCCTGGCTGCTTTCTTACCTTTTCATGGAGTCCTGCTTCTCCCTGCACATTGGACCACCCTCCTTTTTCCAGTTCCCCCTTTGCTTCTCTTCTATGTGGCTTGGGCTTTCTGTAGTTGGAACTCTACTTTGTGATGCTCTTCTAGCAACTGCTTCAGTTGTGAAATGACCAAGCCTTTGGTACTCCTAACTTCATCTTCTCAAAAGGAAGAATATCATTGATGCAACTCATCTTTTTACTCCAAGCTATGCATTGTCAGCTGGTGAACAAACTATGAACTGGCTATTCTTGGGTCACCACAGGTGACTACCCATTGAATTGTTGGAAGTTTGGAAATACTATAGGGCAAAAGGGCCTTTGGAAAACTCCAGCAACATGTTTTCATCCTCCAGAAGTGTATCTGGGCTACCTTGAAACACCATTTTTGTACTCCAGAAACACTAGCTCCACGCAAGTATGAGAGTGTCCTTGTAAATGGGGGTTAAATGGTCTGGTCTTGGGCTCCAACTGCTTTGGGGAGTTGCATTCCCTTGCTGATAGCATTTGGATATGTCATAGGTAAGGCCGTGTTCACCTGCTGTCACTGTGAGAAGCATTAGTTTCAGGTAGCTCATTGCCATGCAAATCTGGAAAACCTCTAGGTCATTCAGTGGACAATCTTGATCAACACTCTAAAATATGTACTCAAGCTGGGCATGGTGGCTCATGCCTGTAATCCCAGCACTTTGGGAGGCCAAGGTGGGCAGATGGCTTGAGCTCAGGAGGTCAAGACCAGCCTGGGAGACATGTCAAGACGCCGTCTTTAAAAAAATGTTTAAAGTAGCCAGGCATGGTTGTGCACACCTGTGGTCCCAGCTACTCAGGAGGTTGAGGTAGGAGGTAGAGGTTGCAGTGACTCATAATCATGCCGCTGCACTTCAACCTGGTGACAGAGCAAGACCTTATCTTAAAACAACAACAAAACAACAAACAACAACAGAGCAAAGATAAAAATATGCACTCAAGCAAGAGCTATGGTCAGGGCAGTTTTGTTCAAAAGGCATTGAGGGCCCAGGACTCTGGCATCAATTTCTTCCTTTTCCAGGATATCCTTCACACTACTAAAAGATGCACTGATCATATCATTATTACTTTAAAACCTCCATTGGTTTGTACCATGGAAGCTCAATGCTTTGACTTAGTGCAAAACACACAGTTTCTCCCCAAACTCCTCTTTTCCATCGTTAATTCATACATCACGGTTAGTCATGTGCCTTTGCTACTTGCATTCACTTGGTATAGAATGACCTCCCACCATTCACCTGACAAACTTCTATACATCCTTCAAGACCCAATTCAAATGATACATACCCTGTAAGATCCTTCTCTGCCTATTTGCTGAGGTGGATTTATTAATGTCTACATTATTCTTTTAATTCCAGAAGCAAGATGTTCATACTTTGGGAATTTCACTTATCTTGTTCATGGCTGGTTATCTCATTACAACATGAATTCTAAGGCCATCTGAAAAATGTATTCCTTTTTTTTTTAGTAAGGTCAAATTTGAATACAATGAAATGCACACATTTAAGTGTACAATTTGATGAATTTTGACAAATGAATATACCTGTGTAACAACACCACAATCAACATATAAAGCACTTCTTTCACCACAGAATATTCCCTTATCACCCCTTGCAGACACTCTCCACCTCAACAGGGAACCTCACCTTTGACTTCTTTTTTTTTTTTTTTGTGAGACGGAGTTTCACTCATGTTACCCAGGCTGGAGTGCAATGGCGCGATCTTGGCTCACCGCAGCCTCCACCTCCTGGGTTCAGGCAATTCTCCTGCCTCAGCCTCCTGAGTAGCTGGGATTACAGGCACGCACCACCATGCCCAGCTAATTTTTTGTATTTTTAGTAGAGACGGGGTTTCACCATGTTGACCGGGATGGTCTCGATCTCTTGACCTCGTGATCCACCTGTCTCGGCCTCCCAAAGTGCTGGGATTACAGGCTTGAGCCAACGCGCCCGGCCTTGACTTCTATTACTATAGATTAATTTTGCCTTTTCTTGAAAGTCACATAAATTAAAAAATAAATACAATATATATGCATTTATGTTTGAATTCGTTAGCTCAATGAATATTTCTGATTATTCTATTTTGTTGCATACATTAGTTCATTTTTTAAATTGCTGAGTAGTATTCAATTATATGAATATACTATAATTTTTTTCTCTTTTCTCAGATTACTGAGTAGGTTGTTTCCAGTTGGTAAGGCTACTATGAATATTCCTATGTATATCTTTCATGGACATATGTTGACATTTCTGTAGGGTAAAAACCTTAAAATCGGAATTGCTGGGTTATAGGATAGTATATGTGTAACATCATAAGAAACTACCAAAGAGTTTCCCAAAGCGGTTATACAATTCGAAGTCTCCATTGGCTATTTCTTTTTTTTTTTTCCCCCTGAGACGGAGTCTTGCTTTGTCGCCCAGGCTGGAGTGCAGTGGTGTGATCTTGGCTCACTGCAACCTCCGCCTCCCAGGTTCAAGTAAGTCTCCTGCCTCAGCCTCCCGAGTAGCTGGGATTACAGGCAGCTAATTTTTTTGTACTTTTAGTAGAGATGGGATTTCACCATGTTGACCAGGCTGGTCTTGAACTCCTGATCTTGTGATCCACCCGCCTCGGCCTCCTAAAGTGCTGGAGTTACAGGTGCGATCCATTGGCCATTTCTATGCTTCCTTTTTGCAATACCTTTTCTATACCTTTTAAGTGGAGCTTAATTTACTCTTCTTTTTCTAACTTCTTAAGGTGGAAAGCTTCAATGGTTTTACACCTTTTTCCTCTTCTAATAGAAACCTTTGAAGCTACTAATTTCTCTCTATGAACTGCGTTCCACAAATTTTGTTATGTTTTATTTTTATTTCATTTGGTTTTAAGTATTTTCTACTTTCACTTGTGCTTCCTTGTTGACCCCTTACCATTACTAACATGGGTTATTTTCTAAAATATGATGTTTAATTTCCAAATACATATTTAGAGCTTTTCTAGATATCATATTGCTGCTAATTTCTGTGTAATTATTTTGTCAGAGAAGAGACTCTATAAGCTTTGATCTTTTCATGAT